CCTCTTTTGCCATAAGTCCTAAATCGGATAGCCGATTCTGATTCATCGTCGACCTTAAAACAGTTTTTATTTTCGCTAGACAACTTAATCTATTGGACCAGCAGCGTGTTGAGCTTTCTTCCTTACATTAAAACTTTAAATTAAAAAAGACTCTCCGGAAATGCTCTTAATGTTCCTTTACGTTGACTTAGTTCGCAGCTGTGCCTGTTAATTCTCTTACATAATAAACGTCAGTTTGATTTCGTCATCCTGTACACCCTGCAGATCATATTACCCTTACGTGTAAAACTAATGACTCATATCTCTAACATGCGCGAACGTGATATTGTATTAACGCGTAGGTGTTCGGAAGTAATTTAAAAATTTTGTGCTCTAAATATTCCATCTGGCATATAACTAAAATTTACATAATCACATTCTTGTGTGACTATGTGGACTCACAACGGCCGCTTTACACATTAATAAGATTGTGATCTACGTACACAAAGGTGTTTTGTATTTCTTGCACAGCCAGAGCGCCACTGAAACTAAGCTTGGCTAACTTCAAAATATTCGGTCATTGGAAACAAAAGAAGCTTTTACTGCTCCAGTTGTGGTTATTCTAATTTTTTATTGTTTTATATGAATCGGTAACAAGAAACTATGCGAAAGGGATCACTAAATAACTATAGTTTCCTTCTTAGGTGGTACTTGCTAGTTGTTGATTACAGCTGTTGCTATTTATTGTACCCAACAAGAATAAATAATTCTAAAAAAGGAAAGAACTTTTCATCTAAGGTTTTGATAATTACTGATTAGTTTACATGGTACCTATATATAGCCGATTCAAAAATAATTCTCGCCAGTGTTATTTTTTCTTCCTGGTAAATGAACATTGTGTAAATGGTGCAAGAAAGGTAGTTTTCATGGTGGCTAAGCTGAAGAGAATGTTTGGATTATTGGAACAGGAAAGGCGCTTTTGAAGTGTCTACACAGTGTGCAATCGAAGATTACAATTCGATGATTATTCTTCATTAAGCATTAATAAAAATATGATGTATAATTTGTAAACCTACGAACTTTGTTTATAAATATAGAATGTCGCATAGTCAAACACCTGTCGCTCATCTACCTAACTTATTTTTATAATTATTCTTCGAATACCACCACTATGGCTAATCAATTACTTGTTCACTGCTGAATTGCTTTCCCACTCTTTTAATTTGCTATCATTTCATAGTTACAATTGAATTGTCCCGGAAAACTTAAAAAAAAATTGAGTGTTTCATTCCCACCAGTTGCTAATGTTATTGGATAGGCAGACTTTCCAGAGTTCTCTAAAGAAATCGCAGAAACGGACAGATGATGGTTGGGGATACAAAGATGAGACAGTTGAAATGAAGACAAAAGAGAAGTGAAGAATTTTCCGTGAAATACTATTGCTGTACCATTTATTATACCTTCCAAGTGACCCAAGGTAACCACTGAAAAACTTGGACCAGAGTTGGCGGACCCAGAATTGAACCAGTGCCCTTCCGAATGTGTGCTGTGACCCAAATCTGTCGGTCCCGATCTTCAAGCAGCTGTTATACTGCGTTTACTTTCTGTAGCGATGTGACCTTCAATTCGACTGGCCCAATGCAGAACAGAACAGCAATAGGCCAGAAAAGGAAAGAAACAACTCTCGGCCAAACTCTTAACCGATGAGGAGCGTATAATCCGTACAGTAATGCACGGAGAAATTGACCATTTTATTCACTACAATTGCATTGCTCAAATGTGCTGTTATTGGTACCATTTACCACTGAAAATATCAACGAAATGTTTATTTATATTTGAAGACATATTAAAGGCTTTAACGCTTGTTTTCGACTCGCACTACTATTCATGATTGAACAAAACTTTTGGCAGGTACTGTATGAAAAAGTATGTTTAATGAACAA